TCTTTGTCCCTCCTGCAGCCCCGGGGGGCGGATTTTATCTCAGTATCAGAGAGAGCTACCCTGAGAGGTGAGCTCCCTGCTGGACCCGGAGAGCACCTGTCTTCGGAGGGAGGGCCTTTCTGCACTGCAGGGAGTTTGCAGGGGTCCCCCGCATCCAGAATCTGGGTCTGTAGGCCGGTGGTCATGAAGCCTTTCCTGGGCTTTCCCGTGTGTGTAGAAAAGGCAGGCCCGGTGTGGAGAGCACGGTAGGAGCCTGGGGAGGGCAGCCTCTGGCACAGGAACTGGAACTGGGTTTGAGGGGGTTGTTGGAGAATAGAGGGGAGGACACTCCAGGCAGGGCCTTGCATGAGAGCCTGGACGGTGGAGGGGATGAAGGGCAATGCAGGCTCCCGCCCCTCTGAGCCCTGCACCTACCACCTCTTGTCCCTGGACCCAGAGTCTCCCCCGACCCCTGCCCCCAGTCCTGGGGGGTAAGGACCCCGCATCACTACTCACAGGCAGCCTGGTGGGGGCTGTGAGCCCAGCTGCTTTCAGCAACACCTGGGGCCGTGCAGACTCACCCGGGAGCGGGGCCTTGGCGTGTGCCCCACGCGGTTGGCAGCGTCTCTAAGGTGGGCGTATTCCAAAGGGCCAGGTACCAGGTGGTGGTGGTGGGGAGGGTCTGTGTCCCGCGGGAATGGGTGTGACGTCTCAGTCCCAGGCTGGGCAGGCAGCGCGAGGACAGAGTGTGGGTGGTGGCCGGGCTTCCTGTCCCCGTGGAGACCTCGAAGAAGGGGCCTGGGCTCCCCACAGGCCCAGGGCTCAGGGCTGGGCGTCGGAGCACCCAGGCGCAGATCTCGGCGTCGCCGCACGCACTGTGTGGTCTGCACCCGTCCTGGTTGGGCTCCCGCCGTGGGACCTGCTGAGGGTGGACGGGTGGTCCAGCCCCACGGCCTGTGTGCCCCCACTGACGCCCGTGCTCTCGGGGTGGCCCGTCCTCGGGAGCCGCACAACCCTGCACGCCCCCGGAACACTGCATGGGCCTCCTTCCCCAGGTGGACCCTGAGTGGGGCTGGGCCCTGCGGCTGCGGCCTGGTGAGCAGCCCCCACCCCCGGCTGCTGCGGGCTGCCCCCGGGCTGCCGCCCCCTCAGCAGGGTCCCCTCGGGCCCTAGCGGCTCAGCTGAAGGCGCACTGTCGAGGTCACTGTCGGAGGACTGCCTCCAGCAGCCGCTCCTCCTGCCGCATCCACGGGGGTGTGGACCTCCCTGCCGTCCTGCCGCGGCCTCTCCTCCGGACTCTGCCCGGCCCGCCCTCCCCCAGGCTCTCAGCCCCTGGCTGCTAGCACCTCTGAGGGCTCATGACCCCGCAGTTATTTTTACATCTGCAGACGCCTGCGCGTGGTGTCCGATGGGCCTCTGCAGCTCACGTGTCCGGGAGGGACCGGCCCAAGCCCCGCCCCCGCAGCCCCCTCCCCGGGCGCCCCTGCCCCCCCAGTCCAGTGTCCACATCTGCCCTGCGGGGAAGGCCCCCCTGGGCTGTCGCCATGGTTACTGCAGGGCCTGGCCCAGCCTAGGCCAAGGGCACCTCTTGCCTGAGCAGCCTCTGCCCCAGGCTCACCTTGCGCCGCTCTCCCCTCCCTCCCCCGCCTGCAGGCCCTTTGGGTTTCTGCCTCTGGGCCTTTGCTCTGGTGTCCCCTCCAGCAGCACTGATCTCTGCCGGGCCCGCCACCCTGGCTTCTGGCGTCCCTTGGGAGTCGCCTTTGTTGTGCCCTCTGTGAGGGTCTCGGCTCGGCACCCAGGCCCCCCGCAGCCGCTGTCATCCCTTTGACCATCCCCCCTCCTGGTGTCAGCTCTGCGGGGGGCCTGGGCTCTGTGCCCTGGGTCCCCTGCCCGCTCAGGAGCACAATGACCCAGGCCCAGGAGGCTTGGTGGGCTCCAAGTCCCAGCCTTCAGAACGGGAGGCTTGGGTGGGCTCTGAGGGATCCCAGCAGGGGGGTCTTTCAGGGAGCGGGACCTCATGCGGAGCATTTGCCCCTTCCTGGACCTGCCCTCGCTCACTGCAGGGCGCAGTCGCTGGAGGGCAGGGTGGGCTCGGGGCTCGGGGCCGAGGCCGCTGCTGGGCCGCTCTGTGCTTTGCCCACAGGGTGGCATTTGCGGGGAGCCAGGGCTGTGTTAGCACGGGGTCTGGGCGGGCTGGGTGGCGTCCATTCGTCAGACAGGAAGCAGGCTAAGCGTGGGTCGGCGGTTGTGGACGCAGGGTTGGGACGGGGTAGGCCGGTCTCCCGCTGTGGCACCTCTGCCCTCGGCCACGGCAGCGAGGCGGGGGGTGTGCATGTGTGCGAGTGTGTGTGTTGGTGAGCGCGTGTGTGTCCGTGTGTCTGCCTGTGTGTGCACCTGTCAGTCCCCGCTGCCTTGGTTTACCTCATTGCCCCCATGAGCCCCCACCCTCCCCGGCCTGTGGACGGCCCCGCGTCCGGGCCCTGGAGCCGCGGTGCAGCCCTCCGGCTGTGAGCGGGGTCCACACGGCCATGGGGACAGGAGCCCGACAGAGGCCATTTGAGTGGGGGGTCTGGTGACCAGGAGACCTCACCAAGGGACCAGTCCTGCTGGGCTCCCCGGGAGGGGTGAAGCCGTAGGGTGCCCGGCGGAGCTGTCCTGCTGGGGCGGGCCCTGGCGTACTGGCCCCATGTGTCTGCAGGGGAGCTGTGGCCCGGGAGGGGCTGGCGCCGTCTCTCCTGGGCTGACCCTGCTCTGTCTCGCACCCCTGACCTGAAAACTGCCATTGTTCCGATGCCTGTGGTAAACGGCACTCCTGGGGAAGGGGTTTCAAAAACAGGATCCATTTACTGCTGCAGGTGACGTGGAGGGGAGAGGGCCCCACACTTGCTGCGCCCAACCCGGCCCCCTCCCCACCACCTCTTTCCCACCCGTGCTGGGGGCACTGAGCATGGGGCGGATGCCACCTGCCCCAGCCGAAACCAGGCGGTGACCCGGGTCAGCTCCCCCCGGGCAGAAGGTGGGAGCGCGTCATAGCCGCGTCCCTCAGCCTGTTTGGTTCACATCTAGGAACGTGAGCGGTGACTTGGAGGACGTGCTAGTCTCCTGGGCCTGCAGAGATCTGCCCTCTCCCGTCCCAGTGGCGGGACGTCCAACCTCAGGGTGTCTGCAGGACCTCTTCCAGCTCCTGGTGGCTCCAGGCGCCGCCTCACTTTGGGGCTGGCCTCATGTGGCCTCCTCCTCCGTGCGTTGCCTGCTGTCTCCTGTAGGACCAGCGCCGTCAGGCTAGGGCTCACGTGGATAATCCGCGATGATCTCTCTGTGAGATCCTTAACCTGATGACATCTGCAGAAACCCTTTCTCCAAATGAGGTCGTGCTTGCAGGTCTGGGGTCAGGACGTGGACATATCCTCTGGGCCCGTTCGGCCCGCTGCAGATGGGCGAGGGTGTTCATGCATTCTCATCTCCTTACGGAGTGGGATGTGGGCTGCATCTCAGACGTAGGCAGAATCCAAAACAACGGAACAGGCGTGGGAGGAGGGCCTCAGGGACGACTGCCGGCTCTCATCACGTGCAGGCCCCCAGACCAGCCTTGCGCGTGGGCACGTCTGAGGTGGGAGCACCTGCCCGGCCGCAGGAGGCTTCAGGGAGGTGGGAGGGCACCGTGGCCGTGGTGGTAAACTCCACTCCAGACCAGGACTCAGCAAAGCACCACCCCAAGCCAAATCTGGCCCTCTGCTTGTTTGTGTAATAAAGTTTTGCTGGAGCAGAGCCATTCACTCACGGGTTACGCTGGCTGCCTTCAGAGTTAGGTCTCTGTGGCAGACACTGCATGGCCCCTGAAGCCAAAAACAGCTCCTGCCTGGCTCTTTACGGAAAGCTGTGTTGAGCCTGCTTGTGGCTCTATTCCTGGGAGCGTAACTCCTAGAACAAAGGAGGTGACAGTCACTCTGCAGTGCAGGTCAGGCCACGCCTCAAGGGATGGTCTTCCATTTGACCGATGGTTCCCCGCCCTCCCTGTGCGTGAGCAGGTTGGTGGGGGTGGGGACGGCAGCTAGACGAGGCACAGACTTCTGCACAGAAAACCTGCTGTGGGGGATCCCGGAGCCTGCTGGAGGGAGAGGGGTGTGGCGGTGATGGTCACCTCTGCCTGGGCTGCTCTTGGGAGCAAACACCCGGGAAGCCTCAGGGGAGCATGTGGGTTTCTGTGGGCTCTGGGCGTTTCCCCCTCGAAATGGGAACGTCTTTGCTTTTTCTGATAAAAGCATTTCAGACGCTAAGGAGATAGATGGGAGGGCCTGGGCAGGTGGGGGGACGGCGAGGCAGGCTTGTGGGAGGGACAGGAGCCGTCTGCTTGACCGTGGTGTGCCCGGGTCTAAGGGCCGTCGCGGGCTCTGGCTCGTTGTCCCGTTGGGATACCATCGGGATGACGGGGACAGCAACTGTGATGTTGAGGACAGTCGGGAACTCCAGAACAGAGGCGTGTCACCTGCCGGGGGGGAAGGGCAGGCCTGCCGGTCTTGGGGGTGGGCTGGCGTGGGGGCCGGTGGTGGGACCTCAGGCCCAGTGGCTCCCCCCTGGGGCTAGAGTCCACACCCTGGAGAACGAGAGACCCAGGAGGCCCGGCGGGTCTGCGTGCAGCAGAAGGGGGCTCGCCGCTGCCCCTGGCTCTCTGCCCGTCCCCACGGCCCCCTGCCACGGCTCCTAGAGGCCCTGCAGCCCTTGAGGGTGGCCTGCGGGGGCCCCAGGGCTGGGGCAGGGTGGATGCAGGGCTGGGGCACACACAGGGCCAGAGCCAGGTGGGCAGGCTCGCTGTGGAGTGTCCGTGGGGCCCGTGCGCCGGGCGGGGTGGGAGGTGCTGTTTGTACGGGGAGACGTTGCCCAGAGCTGGGGTGGCTTGCTGGGGGTCACACCTCAAGCCTGGGCTCTCCGGGCATGCCGCGGCCCCTGGAGGGGTGCAGGCGTGCATGGGGCCGTGCCGCTGACGGCCTGTACCGCGTGTCTTGCCCGGCGTCCCCGCAGACTGCCTGCTGATGCTGGCCTACAAGGACAAGGCGGAGCGAGCCAAGGGCCTCCGGGAGCGCAGCAGCCTGACGCTGGAGGACATCTGTGGCCTGGAGCCCGGCCTGCCCTACGAGGGCCTGGCCCACACGCTGGCCATCATCTGCCTGTCCCAGGCCGTCATGCTGGGCTTCGAGAGCCGCGAGGCCATGTGCGCCTGGGACGCCCGGATCCGCTATGCGCTCGGCGAGGGTGAGTGGGGCCGGGGCGACAGACCCCGTCCCTAAGTGTCCCGTGGGACCCTCACCCACAGGCTGCCGGAGCCGTGCCGTGACCCCAGGGCACGATGCACAAGTGTTTGCCGAGCACCTCCGCCGCCCGGCTCTGTGCTTCGGGCTCGCGGTCTGGGAGGACGCGGTGCTGCCCAGAGGCGCTCGGGCCCTGTGAGGGGGCTCGGGGAGCAGCTGGGGCCGCGGGGCCCCCCCAGCTCCCTGACTCGATCCTGTTAGTTGGAACCAGGGCCCTTACCCCGAGGGGGCTCTGTTGAGCAGAGTGACCTTCCTAAGTGCTGCCTCTTGCTCCCCACCCTGTCCACCCGAGCCCAGAGCCAGGGTTCCAGGGGCAGCGAGGCCGCAGAGACCCCGTCCCACTGCAGCGTCCCCCAGGGGTGTGGTGGCTTCTGTGCCTGAGCCAGGGAGGCCAGGGGGGCCAGTGCAGCTCTGCGGGGTGGCCGGGCAGGGTGCAGGGGTGGGGGGCCCCGGTGAGCTCGGGGAGGAGGAGGGCCTCACGCCAGACGCCCAGAAACACAGCCGTCAAGATCAGTGACACTGTAACAGTCTTTAAAACCCTCAGGATCAATGCACAAAGCCTGTGACGAGCCGAATACCAAAATTTGGCCTGCCCTGAGCCTGCCCCGCCTTCCCCTTCTTTCCTGACCGCCCCCCAGCAACCCTGACAAGCCTTGTCTTTATTTAACCATTTGATACTTCATTCATCACGGACTTTTGCATTAATTTTTATTTGCTTGAAAAAATCATCACAGCATCGCTGGCCTCGGCCGCTGTGTGTTTGGTCCCGAGCTGGGGGCTTCCCAGGGGCTCGCTGAGGGTTAGGACAGGGAAGGTGACCAGGGCGGCCCCTCTGGGCGCTCGCCTGCCTCTGAACCAGGGTAGGGTCTGGTGCCTAGGAGCGGGGAGTGCAGCCCCTGGGGGCTGGAGGGCGCCAGCCAGGCCTGGGTGGGGGGCCAGCCCTGAGTCTGGTGCCGACACCCGGGAGCTGCCCCCTCCCCGGGGCCCCTGCTCGCGGTGATGCCCTCGCCCCTCCCCTGCCCCCAGTGCACAGGTTCCACGTGACGGTGGCGCCAGGCACCAAGCTGGAGAGCGGCCCCGCCACCCTTCACCTCTGCAATGACATCCTTGTGGTGGCCAGGGACGTCCCCCCGGCTGTCATGGGGCAGTGGAAGCTGTCCGACCTCCGGCGCTATGGGGCCGTCCCCAACGGATTCATCTTTGAAGGAGGGACCAGGTGTGGGTACTGTAAGTATGCGGGGCCTGGGCGCCCCGGGCCACAGGCCACTCCAGCACTCGCTCTCCCCAAAACCCACGGCTTGGAGCCGCCCACCCCACTGTGCGCTCGCCTTGCTGGCATCTGGGGGACGTGGCGGGCGAGGGGTATGTGTCTCCAAACCTGGCGCTCAGCAGAGGCCAGACCCCCGCTGCCTCTGTCCGGCCCGGGCCGCTGAGGGTGGGAGGAGGGGCATGCAGCCCACTCACGGGGCGCCCAGCACCCCGGAGCGAGGCCTGCCCGTCACAACGCGTGGCCCTGTGTTTGAAGTCACAGAGCCCCAGGGCATTCCTGTTCCGACTCAATGAAAAAGAGAAAAAGGGGAAAGAATGAGCATGTTTATCGAGGATGTGCCGAGAACACATTTGTGGACCAAGGATTCCTCGTGGCCACACCAGCTCCCGTGGTCCTTGAGTCCCCACAGCCGGAGGCGGGGCAGGCGGAGAGGTGCCCTGAGGTGCAGATGAGTGCCAGGCCCCCCCCCGGGTGGGGGGAGTGCAGTGGCGAAGTGTGCCAGCGAGCTGAGCGCGGGCCGGGAGTGGGGCGGGAGGGGCACAGCCTGGTCCTCCTGGAGCTGAGGGCTCGCCTGCTGTGCGGACGGGGATGGGCCGACACTCCACACTGCTCTCCACGCATGGGCGTGTGCGTACGTCTGGGCCTGCAGCGGCTTCGGGGGCACGAGCCCCCTTCTCTGCTCTCTCCCGAGGAGCCCAGGCCCACCTGCGCTGGCTGTCCAGGGTGGCCTCCCGGTGACCGGTCCGGTGGCCGGGACGACCTCAGCCGGTGTGCTGGGCTGGAGAGTGGAGTCTGGGTGGGAGCTGTGCACCCCCATCTCAGTTCAGCCTGGGACCCCCGCCAGATGGGGATCATGGCCCCCTCTCTTGTGGGTAGGGGGGCCTGGAGGCTCTGAGTGGCTGGCAACCTCTCCCCACCTGTGCCCCCTCCATATAGGGGCGCTAATCCCCTGACCGACAGTACTTCCCTCTCCCCCCGCCCGCACCCCTGCAAGGGCCCTATCGCAGGGTCTGGCCCACACTCCGTACAGCCAGGTTTGGGTGGGGTCCACGGGGCTCTGGGACCTTGGTCCTGCCCAGATCTCCCCGGCAGAGGGACTGTGCTGGGGGACGTGTTCATGCTGGCCAGCTGGGCCCCTCCTTCTGCAAAGGGTGGGCAGGGTGGGAGAGGCCGCCTGGGGCCACATGCCAGCCCTGTGGGCCAGCCCGTGGGGCCCTGCATCCAAGGACGTACGTCATGATCTACAAAGATGCAAAGAGATAGACAAGCAGGTGAGGTTCCTGCTCAAGGCAGCGAGACCTCTGAATTTTTTGACGGGCTGCACCCTGGGCTTGGGGGAGGGGAAGTGTTTGGAGATGCCAAGGCAGGCCACGGGGGTGGGGTAGCGAGGTGCAGTGGGTTTACAGGGTGGGGCAGTGTGGGTGGTGGCTGGCCCCCAAGCTGTGGGGTGGGCGAGCCAGGCCCCGGGGTTTTTGAGTGGGAGTCTGAGCACAGCTGCCCGGGCACCTGCTCTGGGCTGGCGTTGGGGGGGGGTGTGAGACGCCAGCCAGAGGCCCCCCTGCTGGGTGTGCCCTCAGGGCCCCGAGTTCTGGCACACTCGAGGGGGCAGCACTGGGGTCCAGAGCAGTGGAGGGGCAGGGTTCCCGGCCGTGTGGGTGGTCGGAGCTGGGCCACGTGCCCTGGGTCCGGGGCAGCCCTCCCCCCGCCAGATCCCCTCCACGTGGGGGCCCTGGAAGAGGGAGAACGGGGTGCAGCCCGCCTGGGGGTGGCGGCGACATGCGCCCCGAGGGAGGCCAGTCAGAGGACCCGTTTCCTCGGAGACCCTCATATTTGCCGGACATAATGTAACAGGGCGTCCAGTTTAAAATCCCGACTGGGCGTGGGTGGGCCCTGCCTGTGAACGACGGTGGGCAGCTGTGACGTCCCGGGGCTGCCGGGAGCCCAGAGGGAGCCCCGGTGGGGCCATCCTGTGGCTGCTCCCAGGCAAGCCGGGCCCCGCAGCGGGACGCTGACCCGGGATTCGGTCTTCCCTGCTGCTCCAAGCTCTCAGGGGGCCGCTGACCAAGCCAGCCCGTTCAGCCACTGTGGAAGAACCCCGGGGGGGGTCGGTCCCGCTGGGCTCTGTTCTTCGGGGACAAGTTTGCCAGGGCTGTGCCCGTGTTCGCTGGGCTATAGGCCGTCACGGGGACCACCGCGCCCCGCACGTGTGGTCAGACCGCCGCCACTCAGGACCGGGGCTTCCCGGCAGGGACGTCAGGGTCTTGGGGCTGCCCTAGCCAGTGACCCCAAACTGGGGCCTTAGAACAAGAAAAACAGATTCCTTCACAGTTGTGTCCAAAGTCAAGGTGTGGGCGGGGCTGTGCTCCCTCCAGAGGCTCCAGGGAGGCGCCCCCCTGCCTCTTCTGGGCCCTGGTGGCCCCCGGCGGCCCTGGCCTTGTGGCCGCCCGCTCCAGTCTCTCCTCTGTTGTCACACGGCCATCTCCCCGTGTCTTCTCTGTGGGACACCAGTCGTGGGATTTAGGGTCAGCCGATAACCTGGGATCACATCTCATCTCACTTGATTAAAGACCACTGTTTCAAGTAAGGTCACAGTCCCAGGTTTGGGATGTGACCTATCCTTTGGGGACCACCATTCAGCCCGTGACATGGGTCACCTTGACTGTGAAGATTTTAGAATTTGGGTCCTGATGGGCCTGTGGCCCTGGGCGTGTTTAATCTGGAGGGCAGAGAGCTGGGTTGGAATCATCGGAAGGGCCTGGCAGGTCTGGAGTATAAGGAATTAGCATCCCCTCCCTCCCCTGGCCCGGTCCCTGTGCCCCCCCAGAACCACACCCCCTTGGCCACAGACAACTCTCCAGAGAGCGGGAAATGGTCCCCGGCCCTCTTTGCCCACCCCGAGTGTCAGGAGGATGTGGAGGTGGGGTCAGGCCCTGGGGGGGCGAGGCAGAGGGCTCAGGGCTCTGATGGGTTTGGGGGAGACATCGGGGTGGGTATGACCAGGGTTGTTTGGCAGAGGCCTCTCAGGGCCGGGCCAGGTATGTGGGGGCTTGGTGTGGCTCTGGGTCCCTCCCAGGTGGGCATTTCCTCTCTGTGGCCTCCATGCATTCGGTGGCCTGTTCCTAGTCAGATGGCAGTGGGCTTGTTGGCTGGGAGTCCAGGGTCTCCCGGGGTGGCCTGGTTCTCTGTCTCTGGGTTGGTGGAGGCCCACTGTGTGTGGCGAGGGCTTCGGGCAGGAACAGAGGATGGGAGAAGGGGGGCCCGCCCAGAGCCCAGGGAGGGCAGGCCTTGGGGAGGGGCGTGTGAGCGAGCCGAAGGGTGAATGGAGGTTTCTAGGAGGGGGCCCAGAGGAGGTCTCTGTCCCTTGCATTGACGGGTCCTCCTGTCAAGGGCATTTCCACATCTGCATGAGCCAGCTTCCTTTGCAGAGGATCAGGGTCCTCGGATGCTAAGGAATTCAGCAGGTGGCAGAAAGGTCCCGAGCCTGTGGTGGAGGTACGTCGTGGATAGTGACCCTCAGAAATGTCCCCTCCGCGTCTTGCGTGCCAGCCCCTCCTCCACTCACTGTGCCCGGCTCCTCGGGGTGCGACCCAGGGCTTCAGCCTCTTGGGGCACGGAGGGCGTTTCTAGGTGACTTTTTTTTTTTTTAAAGAGTGCGTCTTTTAAAAAAAATTTTATTTAAATTGAATTTAGTTTAAAAAAATTTTTTTTACAGATTTTACTTATTTATTTGACAGAGAGAGGGCACAAGTAGGCAGAGGCAGAGGGAGAAGAAGGCTCCCCGCTGAGCAGGGAGCCCGATGCGGGGCTCAATCCCAGGACCCTGGGATCATGACCTGAGCTGAAGGCAGACGCTTAACCGACTGAGCCACCTGGGCGTCCCTAAATTCAATTTAGTTTTAAATGACTTTTTTTAAGCGAGTAAAGGATGAAGCCATAGACTGGGAGGAACTCTCTTGCTGCGTATTTAAAACACTTGCATTGTCCAGCTCTGCTAAGTCCTCTGGTGGGTGGATGTTGTGGTCTGCATGCCGGGCAGTCTTGACGGAGCTGGCTGAAGCCCTGGTCTCTGACCCCAGGAATGTGTGTCCGGCACGGATGGTGACCCGCAGGGTGTGTGCAGGAACCCCGCTAGTTGGTGGTGGCAGAGGTGGGGCTGGAGAAGGAGGAAGCCATGCTGGGTTATAGAGAGCCCAGAAAGCTGGACCAGAGTGCACTGTTTTCCCAGAGTAGCCGGGAGCCATCGAAGGTGCTTGAGCAGGGGAGTGCCACCCACACGTCTGTGTAGGGTGATAACTTTGGCCCCAGGGTGCAGATGGGATTGAGGTGGGGAGCCATGCAGGGGGCTATGAGAAAGCTCTGGATGTGGTCTGAGGCTGAGTCAGCAGCATGTGTGCGTGGGGGGTCACCGGGGATGCAGGAATGTTAACTACCAGCGGTTGAAATGGGGAGAGAGGGAGGGCCAGCCTGGGGTGGGCGGGAGAAGGAGGGGTGCTTGCTGGGGTGAGGGTCCCAGGAAGATGGAGGCCCTGCCCTGGGCCGGGTCTGCTCCAGTGCTTTGCCCACGGGGAGGCATCCAGCCCGTGCAAAGGCCGGCTCCCCGCTTCCTTCCCCTCGGCAGCACGTTGGGGGACACTTATGAATTGGGGTCATTTGATAGGGACGGTTTCAGGTTCCTACAAGGAGATGCAGTCTGCTGTCTGGGTCTAGACCACTGGTCACGTTGCAGACGGTTTGTGGTCGATCCCACCCCTCTGCTGGGAATTTTCTGCGATGGGGTCAGGAGCGAGCCTGGAATCCATCAGCCCCTCTAGCTCACTAGGGGTTGGCCTCCCAGGCTGGTCCTGGCTGCCCCCAGTATCCAGGATGGTGACCCGGGCTTCCCCTCTGGGGGGCTTCGCTCCACTCTGTTTCCTCCCGGGCAGAAAGGCCCCGGGAAGGCACCACGTCCCCCTGCCCTCAGGGATGGACAGTGTGGCCTCCTGGGGGGGGCAGCCTCCACCCCCATCTCCAAACACAAGACATTCGGTCCATGGGCACAGAGTCCCATTCACAACCGTCAGCAGGCACTCGGGGAGACGCAGGGAAAGTGAGATCATGGGCCTGCCCTGAGAAGCCCCTTACCTGAGCGGGGGGCGCCCAGGTGCCCCGTGGGGCCATCGGGGAGGGTGGCATGGCTGCCAGAGAGGGACGGTCACTGGGGAGTGGTCTCAGCGGGGCCTCGCATGAGCCGGGGACGGGGAGCAGCCCCTCCTTGGGGATGGAGCCCAGGGCTGGGGCTCCCCCAGCAGCGTTCCGACACTGCCCAGGGCGGGCCGTTCCGTGCAGTGTGCCCGGGAGGGGCTGCGGGAATGGTTTGCCCTGTGTTTACTGGGGCGGAATAGACACGCATAGAGTTTACCCCTTGAACCGTGGTCGGGAGTACAGCTCAGAAGCATCAGGTGCATTCAGTGCCGCGCAGCAGTCCCCGCCCCGTCTTGGCCAGCTGACACTGGGTCCCCAGTGGACACCAGCCCGCATGTCCCCTGCCCGGCCCCCGACACCCACCGTCCTCTTTCCGAGTCTAGGATCTGACTCCTCTACGGGGCTCGCAGAAGTGGGATCACACGGTCCCTGTCCCTTCGTGACTGGCTCGCTGCACTGAGCACCGAGTCCCCCAGGTTCATCTGTGAGGTAGCAGGTGTCAGGATGTCCTTCTTCCTCGAGGCTGAACTGCATTCCGTCGTGTGGACCACGTTCCTTTATCCGTCCTCCATCAGTGGTCGCTGCTGTGAACACGGGGGTGCGGGCCTCTGTTCGGTGCCTGCTCTCAGTTCCTTCGGGTGCACACCAGACGTGTGATCGCTGGGTCTGCGTGTGATGTTCGGAGGACCCTCCACGCTGTTTTCCACGGCGACCCCTCCACAGCGCACCGGGTTCCAGTTTGCCCAGGTTCCCGCCAACACCTGTTGCGTTCTGTTGTTTTGTTTTTAATCAGTCTTCCTGGGGGGTGAGACTATTGGGGGAAACTTAAAACTTGATTTCGAATGAACATGTTTCATTGAACTTTGGTCCTGTCTCTCAAAATAAGGACAGAGAGAAAGAAACGAAATTTGAATCAGTAGATGTTTACCTCTGTTAGGGAGCCCTGTGCAAAGTGAGACCCCAGGGGTCCTGGTCTTCTGAGTGAAAGTCTAACACCAGGCAGGTTGGTGCTGCCTAGGCAGAGCTTTCTAGAACCTTCTCTGCACGAAAGTCCTCCAGACGCTTTCAGGCACTCTCTACCGAACAGGACCTCACCGTGTGCTTCTGGTCTCCGTGGAGCCAGGACACCGAGCACACACAGAGCTCAGGACACTGGAGGTTTTCTGGACTAACTTCCGACAGGAATCCGCCCACGGAACTGGGCACACGTTTGGATGGAAGAGTGTTTTTCTCGGGGCTGGGGACTCTTTCCGTGGGGTGCAACTGCCTTCGCATTCAGATATTGTCCTAGGGACTAACTGCATTTGTAAAGCCCGTAAGGTTTGCCTTCAGCCCCCGAGAACCCACAGGGTCTGCCCAGAGCGAAAGGTGGCCATCAGCTCGGGCAAGCCGCTGGCTTCCCGCTCAGCACACTCTCTCTCCTCCTTATCCCTGTCTCTGCATGTCAGTGATCACAGAGCAAGAAACACCCCAGGACTTGGCGGCGGTTTCCTTGCTTGTGATTCTGTGGGTCAGGGATCTGCTCCATGTGGTGGACGGATCACTCAGGGAGTGGCGTTGAGGGTGGCCTGGCTGGGAGGCCCAGGATGGCCCCAGGCATGGACCTGCCTGGGCTGGGGCTTCGTGGACTGGAATGGGAGGAGGTGCAGGGGCTGTCTTCGAGGGTGACCGCGTGGCAGGGGGGGCCGGGCCCTACCTCCTCCGGCCCTGCAAGCAGGCAAGCAAACCGAAGTTCCAGGAACACTTTCTTGGGGAAGGCCCACTTGCCTCCGCTTCCTTCTTCCCACCACACCGAGTGCTGGGGTCCCCTGGGCAGCGGGCCCTCGGTGAGACACTGGGGCCCCAATGCCTCAGAAGGAGCCCCTGTCTGTGAGACGCGGGGCCTGGAGGCCAGGACAGCTGCAGATGAGGGCACGTGCCAAGTAAAGGATCACAGGTGTGACCCAGAGGAGGGGCTCCCTCCAAGCAGCACCGAGTGAATGATCAGGGCTCAGGGGTCAGGAATGGCGGTGTCAGGTGAGTGGAGTCTCGGCAGGTGAAGTGGATTACAGGTGGCCGAGGGGTGTGGAGGGATGGGGGTGGCCGCCTCCTGTGGGGGGAGCTCCCAGGGTCCCCAAAGCCTGGGGGAGGGAGGGGGGCCCGCAGAGGCCAGCCGGCGGTCAGCGAGCTGTGTCCCAGAGGCCTCGCCTCGAGGCTCGGGCAGCCCGGACCCTGGGAGCCATGTGCCGTCCCCAGGGAACCTCTGCGGTCAGCTCCCTGGCGTGCGTGGGGGTGGCAGTCGCGCTCCCAGGCCTCACCGGCTGCATCTCGGGGAGCGTGACGCTCAGCAGACGCCTGGTGGAATGCCGACGGCTCCCCTCACTTCGTAATGTGGTTTTTTATAGTCGGGGGACTGGTTGTGCTGCGGCCTCTGCCAGTTGTCTGTAAGCTCAGGATTAGGGGCCCGGCCCTTTGTGCGGGCTGGCAGGCCGGCCCCTCGCTGGGGCGGGGACGCCGTGGGCCGGCCTTCTCCTCGCCTGCCCTCCAGGTCCCGGGCCCATCGGCTGGCTGGAAGCCCTGTGGTGCCTGGATGTGTGCAGGTGGCCCACCGGCCAGGCTGGAGTCCCTCGTGGCCCCCTCTGGGCCTCAGTGCACTCATCCCTAAGAGGGCCTGTCACCCAGTTTGGGGGGCCTTGAACGGATGGAGCTCCCGACCGGAGGGTGCCGCAGCCCCCCGATCCCTGGGGTGGCATTCCCCGTGTGGGGGCTGGCCCGAGCCCCTGGGATCCTGGGAAGACCGTCCGTGACCGTGGCCGGCAGCCGAGGTTTAACTGGGAAGCCTTCCCTTTCCCATCCCGGCCCGCCCGCGGGGGCGCCCCCGGGACCTGGCCTTCAGAGTGAGCAGGCCTTTCTTTGGGCGAAGGGCAGAGGGCAGGGTGTGGAGAGATTCTTGTGTGGTGACGCCAGCCGAGTGTGCAGCCCCATGTGGCCCGGTGTCCCCATTCACTGGGCGGGCGTTGAGGGATTTCATTCACCCTGGCGGGGCTCCGGCCCAGCGGGAGGGCGGCCGGGCCTGGGGCGCAGCCGGGCTGTGCTGACTCACACGGCCTGCCCTCTGCTGGCTGGGGCCCCCCGTGGGCACGACCTCAGCCTCCACCCTCACACCTTGGGCCCGTTTCCCACCCGAAAACGCACCCAGGAGGGGGGCCCGTGCAGTGGGCAGGATGTGTCGCCGGCCACCGCAGCGCCGGCCGCCTCGTGTGTGGGGCAGGCCCACCTCCTGCAGACACTCACCCTCAGAGCAGCCCTGGGTCAGGAGACAGGGTCGGGGGGCACCTACCGAGGTCGAGGTCCCCCAGCTGCTTCCTGGCATGTGAACCCCGCTCTAGGCGGGCCTGTAGCTTGCCCTTCCGATGAGCCTGGGCATCGTGAGAACCGGGACACCCTCACCGCCTCCTGCGGCCACGTCCTCCTGAGGCGCCCCAGGAGCCCCGTCCTGGCCAGTGGGGGCCGACGGGTTAGACCGAGGACCAGCAGGGCGGGACGCCCTCCCCCCGCGCCGTCCTGACACCCAGCGCGGTTGCCTGGGCTGGGCTAGTGCGTGCAGGCCCGGGACGGCCAGGCCTGCGCCCCAGCTGCCCGGACGAGGGGTGTGGGCCTGAAGGACGGAGCAGGGCTTACCAGGGCCAGGCAGAAGCCCATCCGGGTGCTCAGGGGACACTCCCTGCCACCCCCTGCCCCTGTGTGTGTGGTCTCATGGGTTCGCTCCAGGTCCCCGCGTTCTGCATCCTGGTGGCCCCGGGGCCAATCCTGCTGCGGTCCCACCCTACCCGTGCTTCCGACACCAGGGTCTGTCCTCCCGCTGCAGGGGCCGGAGTCTTCTTCCTGTCCTCAGCCGAGGGAGAGCAGATCAGCTTCCTGTTCGACTGCATCGTCCGGGGCATCTCCCCAACCAAGGGTCCCTTCGGGCTGCGGCCGGTTCTCCCAGGTGCGTGTGGGAGGGTGGCCCGGTGGGGAGGGGCCGGGGCCGCCCGATCGGTCAGCAGGGTTGGGTGGGCTGCCATCTGTGCAGGCTGCCTGCAGGGAGGGGTCACGCTGCCCAGCTCCCGAGGGGACAGCTCACACCCTCACTGCCCTCCTTCCACCGGTCGCAGGCCTGGCGACGCTTGGGGGGTGGGGCCTCCGGTTGGGACCCATACGCTGTGGGGCACCCGATGGGGCACCAAGAGGCCATAGAGCCCGTGTGGGGCTTGCGGACACCTTCTGAGCCAGACTGGGGTGGGGGCCTTGCCCCTCGTGGCTGGGACTGTGGGCTGGGGTTTGCGTTTGGGCTGGAAGCTGCCTTGTGAGCTTGCCTGGTGGGTGGGGTCTCACCGGCGGGTGGGCGTGAGGCTGCACTGAGCTCACCTCACCTTGCCCCCCCTTCCCTGGTCGTGCCTGGGGCGCATTCTCCAAGAGCCCTGGGCCGGGAAGAAGCTGGACGCAGGAGGGGCTGTGGGCAGGGCTGGACCCCCGAGGCCCTGGCCCCTTTCTCCCACTGGAGGAAGCGCTGCCCTCCCCTGGGGGACGGCCCGGGAGGGACGAAGGCTGGTGCTCGTCGCCGCGGCCTCCGTTGACCGAGGCCCCCGGTGGGTGGTACCCAGGATCGCTGGTGCCCCCACAGCCCAGCGAGGCGGTGCTTGTCACCTTGTCCAGGTGGGAGAGACAAAGGCCTGTGGCCAGGCGGCAAGTGGTCCGGGGTCTCCTTGCATGCGCACCCCAGTGCCGGTCATTCGGGGCCACCTGGGGAGGACAGAAGCGAGCGACCCGCCAGGTGCCCCCTTTCCTGGCACGGTCCCTCGGCCCAACTCCAACCCCACACAGGCCCCGCGCTGGACGGGCTGGGGACAGAGGAGGTGGCTCCTGGGGCCAGAACCTTCGCCGTCTGGGCTCTGCGGGATGGTGTGGTGGCGCCCTCTGCTGGCGCCCTCCTGCCTGCAGCCACAGGGGCCGTGTGGACGGCAGGGTGTGGCCGGGCAGGTGTGGACGGCCTGGCTGGTGTTGCGTCTAGGCCCTGTGCTCGTCCGGCTCTCCTGAGACGTGGCCTCGCCTGGGTCAGCAGCCTCATGCTGCAGCCCTTCTGGGGCCTGTTGTGTTCACCCCCTGCTCAGTCGGACCCACGTGGACACCGAGGCCCAGAAAGGCAGACAGTGGGAGGGGAGAGGGGAGAGTTCCGAGGTCCGCCCTGCCCCGAGCACAACCCGGTGCGCTCCGTCTTGGTCCCACCACGATCGGGGTGCCCTCTCCCCGCACCCCCACTTTGCAGATGTGGACAAGGGGCTCAGGGAGTCCGTCCAGCACCAGCGTCTCTCTGCCCTATCGCTCAGACGGGAAGTGGTCAGGAGGACACGCCCGCGTCCCCTCCTGGGCCTCGCCTGCCGGCTCTGGGGCACAGGACGTGGGCTGGTGGCCGGGGGGCCTGGAGGGGGCAGGCGCCCTGAGACTGGTGTTCCGTGGCTGGGGTGCAGGCATGGGGAGGAGCTAGGGCTCCCGGGGGTCCCCCGTGGCCCTGCCGTGGCCTCGAGGCACGCCCAGCACGCACGTGGCCCCGGTGGTGCGGGACTCACCGGTGCGTCCCGGGCGGCAGGTCCCCTGCAGCGAGGGTCCGGGGCAGGGACCGAGGCCGCGTCTCTGCTGATTCTCTTCTCTGCGGCAGACCCGAGCCCTGGGGGACCTGCCACCGTGGAGGAGCGGGTGGCCCAGGAGGCCCTGGAAGCCCTGAAGCTGGAGAAGCGGCTCAGCCTCCTTGCCCACGCGGTCCGGCCCGGCAGCGGAGGTAGGCGGCGTTTGTTCCCCCGGGGCTCCCTCATTCATTCATCCCCC